TCCACCTTTGAATTTATTGATTGGATATTAATCTTTATATTTAGTTAAATGATCTCTTAATTAAGCATATTATTCTGATAGATGTGGTAATACTTCATCATAAACATCAGTGAATAAATCTTGAATGGATGGTTATTATTCTATGTAATGAATAATTTAAATACATTCTGATCCATTTTTTAATGCAGCAATAACTCTATTTCTAACATCTTTTCTAATTTGATTATCATGCTCATCATTAAATTATCTAAGTCCTTATTTTTTTAAGAATAAACCTAATCTATTGATTGGATTATTTCCAGATTTCCAAGAATCAATTTCTTCTTAAGATCTATATAAAACAGAATGATCAGATGTTGAATGATCTCCAATCTATTGATACAATTAAAATATACTCTATAAGTAATAAATTCAATAAAGAATGGTTCTTTATTTTTAATAATTTATTCTCTTGCATATTTGACTCCATTATAAACAGCTAATAAATCATTACCATCAATTTTTAATGTTCTCATTCCATAAGCAGGAGCTTTTCCAGCAATAGTATCACCTCTAAATTGATCATCTGTAGGAGTACTAATAGCATAATGATTATTTCTGCATAAAAATAGAGTTTAGCATTTTAAAGTTTATGCAAAATTCATTGCAGAATGAAAATCTCCTTCAGAAGCTGCTCCTTCACCAAACCAAGTAGCTGCTATCTTATTTTCACCATTTACTCTAAATCCATATCCTGCACCACTTGCTTATGGTACTTAAGTAGCTATAATATTTCATTTAATATTATATTACTTAAAGGTGATGATACTGTCACTATATTTAAATCTTTGCTTCCATAATGAACTGGCATTTATCTACCTTTTCCACCATCTAAATGATTTCCTATACATTAATTCACTATTTATTCAATTGTAAATCCTCTCCACATAAAACTACCTTATTCTCTATATTATGGAAATATAAAATCTTAAGATTATAATGCAGCTGTTGTCCCTACTGTTGTTGCTGTCTCACCAAAAGATGTCATATAAAATGATATTTTCCCTTATCTCTAAGACATATAAAGAAGATTATCCATCTCTTCTATCTAACAATCATTAAACTAACATTCTTACACTTATCATTAAATCAAATATTTAATTTAATGTCTCTTTTGGAATATTATTATATTCCTTAGCAACAAGATTACCTTCCAAATCTATTACTCTAAATTATTTTATTGGCTCAAAGTTTTTTATTGCTTTTATCTAATAAACATACTCTGATGGCACATCTTTAAAGGCTTTGCTTATTTTAGAAAATCTCATAAAGTGATGCATTAAACACAGATATTAATATAAAATCAATTATTTATATCTCCATATTCAAAGATTCTCTTAATAAATTGCATTACATCTAATCCTATACACTTCATATATAAATAAACATTCTATTCTTATACAATTACTTTCATATTTCACTCTTTTATAAATTCATTATAATAAATAACTAAAAAATATTTAATTCAACTCATTTTATAATTTATATATTCTCCTCAAAATATACTCGGCTTATTTGTTTTGGAATACTTTTCATATGAGCAACTCTAAATTAAAGTGATTCCAAAATTTCCATCAAATTATCTTACTACAATACTTTCTTTATTGCTAATTATTATGAATTCGTAATAATTTCCTCTAATCCTTCCAATTTGCTTGCATTTTTTAAAATGTAATGATGCAATATTCTTGATAATCTTATACTTTGAAACTTTTCATTCTCTTTTAATAAAAGTTTTAATAGGTCTCTTATACATTATTCTTCAATCTTAGTTAAGTTTTAAAAATACGCTTCTTGAATTATATTCAAATATTATTAATTTTTATCTTAAGTTAGTAACAACTATTAAATTGATTTAAACCATTATTCTTAATCAAACACATAAATTAAGGATCTGAGTTTGTAGATGTTCATTTATTTTATTATTGTATTATTTTCTAATTAATTTATATTATAATTGATTATCTTGAAATTTAATCCATTATATTATGCTTTAAATTTTACAAATAATCTACTATTCCTTAAACAAATTAATTTCAGTCTATTTTTAAATAATTAAGAAATAGTTAAATGTAGAAATTACAATATTTTGTATATTTTATAAGTATATTTTATAATCGTATTTAATTAAAATAAATAACAAAAAAAATTGATTGTTTTTATAACGAGATCATTTTATTTGTTAAAAAAAATTAATGTGATAATCCCCGTGATATTTTTGCGACTAACTTTAACACCATTTTCACTTGTTGATCAAAATTAAAAATGAGAATTGATATTTAATTATATAAATTATAATAATTTGATTATGATTTATTTATTCATATAGTAGAGGGAAAGAACGATTTTTTTAATTATTAATTGATTAAATATCATAGAGCATTAAATTTTTAAATTAAGTTAATTCATAGCAAATAATATAATTATGAAAAAATAGAAAGTTTTCATCAAAGGTGTTAAAAAGTTTGATTTATTTGCTTAACCCATCTAAATGTTGGTTAATGAAAAAGAATATCATCAAACAATTTTTGGTTCAATACTCACACTAGGATTGTTGCTACTGTTCTCAAATTTATTATACACTAAATTAATATCGTTATTTGATCGCAATAACCCTACCTCTTTAAGTTCTGAAATTTATCACTCCTAACCAGAGAAATATGAATTATTTCCTTAGAATTTTACCATGACTTTTGCCTTTTAAAATTCAACTTATCATACATACATTGATGATTCAATATATATAGTTAAAGCACATTTGGTACATAAATATGAGCAAATGGTTGATGGTAACAAAAATGAAGTTTGGAATAAACAAGAATTGCCAATAATTAAATGTAGCTCTGATATGATTAAATAAAAAGATTTAAGTGAATATTTTTCACATTTAGATTTACCAACTAATTATTGTATTGATTGGAATAATATTGACAAAATAAACCTTGAAGGAACATTTGATGCCCCTGCCTACTAATATATTTTAATTTAATTTTTTATTTGTACAGAATCAACTAAAAATGGATAACAGTGTAAAGAATAAGAAGAAATAAAAAAAGCATTGGAATAAAACTATTTTTCATTCTAGATTTCATCTTATACCACTAATTTAAAGAATCCTAACTCTCCTTATAATCCTAAAGGTCAAGACTTATTTACTACAATATCTAGTAATATTTATAAAGAAATCTCAATATATCTTGAACCCTTAACTACTGTAACAGATATTGGTCTTATAGAGACTGAATTAGAATATTATAAAACTTTAAGATATGGAAGGCATACAGAAATGTTAGATCTAAATTCAAATGATTTAATTATGAATGTAGTCATTAGATTAGATACAACTGAATATATTGATTATAGAACATATTCAAAAATTTAAGAAATCCTAGCAGAATTAGGAGGATTATGGTAAGTTTTATTCAGTTTATTTTATATCATTTCTAAACCAATAAATAAAATTAGTATATATCTTGAATTAATCAATTCTTTATTCGAATTGAATGATTCTCCAAATAAAGATTAAAACTAATGTTAAAAGCATTCGTCATTATTTAGATAAGAATAACCGGCATCTCCATTATCATTTTAGATTCCTTAAATTCAAATAAATTAGTAATAAAATTAATTTTAAAGTAAAATTAATTAGGAAAAACTTGATGAAAATTAAAAAGCATTAAATAAGCCTTAAAAAACTATTCTTGCAACCTATACTTCATATTTACAAAAAATTATTATTAGAAAAAAGAAAAAACTTGAATTTGGTTACTTTGAAGCTTTTCAAACATTAAAATGCATAATATCATATGTATATCTTATTTGGTAATATTAGGATAACTAAAAAATTAAATAATTCAAATAAGCCTAAAAATAAATTATGGGTTAATTAAATATAGTTGAAATTTTAAAGAAACTTAGAGATATTGATAAGTTAAAACATATCATCTTTAACGAAAATCAAAGAATATTATTTGATAGCTTTCCAAATATTTAGGATTAGTAGATTGAAGACTAACTTGAGGGATTTGACTAATAACATAAACTTACAGCTTAAGATGCAATACTATAAATTATTGGTGATTAAAATAATGAAATGAATTAGAAACTTCTTGCTTCTTTAGATTAGACAGTTAGTAATTTATTAAAAAATTGTTAACATGAACATTCTGAGAAATGATTCTATATTTTGTATTTAAGAGATTTATATTCAACACTATTATTTTCTATTTAAATTTTAAAGTCGAAATTTTAGAGTTTAAAAAAAATATTAACAGATTTAATAAAAATAAAAATATTTAAATTAATTTATTTATTATATTCATTAAGCATTTGATGCATACTGCATATCTTTTTATAATTTTAAATTTTATAATGTATTTGCATATTCTTAGAACTCTGGTGCCTTATATTTGTTTAGGCAAAAATTAATGATCTAAGATTTAACCCTATTTTTAGTATCTAATATCTCCTTATTTTAGGATATTTTGGAAAAGTATACCAATAATTATTAATTTGCAATAAGATTTGTAAATATTTCATCCCATTCTAATAGATCTAAAAAATAGTGATGAAATATTACTCATTGTTAATTCCAGCATGGTTTTTTCTATTTCACCAAAAGGGGTGTTTAATTATTTAATGAGATATACTGTAGCTTCACTAACCTAATCATTTGAGTGGAATTAACTCAATGTTTTAGAAATATTTCCAAATAATGAATATACCCAAAGAATCTTTCCAGGTGGTTTAGGTGTTGTTTAATCTATTACAAAAAAACTAACATAACAATTTAATGCTTTTAGTTTAATCACATCTTTTGTTGAATACAAATATTAGACTATAAAATAAATAAAAACAATTACAAAATAACACTAAAAAGTCAGTATTCTTAATAATAGTTTTAAATCCTTCAGTAAAAAGTACAAAACTTGAAATAATTTCTAAAGCCCCTTCAATTTATTCACTTGAATTGGTTGATAACCATATTGATAATAATTTTATTAAATTTTTTTCAATTATCGGAGTAAATTTAATAACTCTTTAACTTAACATTCTGGCTACTAATAAAACTTCATATTTTTATGTATAAAAGTCATCATTATTTGTAAATGCAGAATTAAGAATATTTTTAAAAAAGGATTAATTAACCATTAATTCTGAGTTCCATTTAGAATTTCCCATACCAGCAATCAATTCTATCATATTTAATTTAACTAAAATATCATCAGTATTGTAAAGTTTAAACACTAATTTAAAAAGGTTTATGTAAGGTAATTAGATAGATTAATCTAAATTAGTTAAATAAATTAATATTTCTACAAATCTCAATTATATTACTTCATTTTTATTATTCAATCCTTAAGTGATGTAAGTAACAAAAAGTTCACTGCTTAATAGAGTTTTTAAAGATTCATCAATAAATCTGAATAATTTTTTAGTAACTCTCAAGGCTTTTAAGCCAACTTCTGATTCTGGATCAGAAAGTTAAAAAAAAATAACTTATAATACTAAATTTAATAATGGAGACTTTTCTTAAACTAATTTAGAAATCAATTGTCCAAATTCAAAGTCATTATTTTCAATACATTCAGAAAGTAATGATCTTACTTTTTTGTTTTAATGTGTTAATAAAGTTTGAACAAATTCAAATGAGTTTTATCCTAATAAAAGTTGTTTGTAGATATCAGGGTCTGAAAAGAGAGCATCGAAATAAGCAATAGTTTTATTTAATTAATCCTTATTTTATTAGGTATGATTTAGAAGTTTTAATAAATCAGAAATTTAATGTGATTGGTAAAGCTCTTTAAGTTTTTAAGGGTGAAATCCGATTTTACTAAGTTCTTCAATCTAGGAGTAGAATTGATCCATATAATTGTAAAAATATTTAAATAAATTAATACTAATGTAAAAAAAATTGGAAAAAGAATATATATATTTTAATAATATTATTTAGAATATGATATAGATAATATAATTTATGGGTTGGAAAGATATTAAAATTTTTAAATATATTTTTATTTTTTAAATATTAATGGATTAAGGATTAGATCCTGCATTGTTATAGGCAGAATTAAAGAAATAAGATGAAGTATAAAATACTAGATGTAAATTAGTGGGCAAAAGCAATAATATTTGATGAAGATTTGAATGTGATAACCCATAAAAACTGTGCAGCTACAAAAGAAGAATTGGCACCATATTTAAAAGCATATGATGTAAGAGACAATACAATAGGAGCAGGGTTTGTTTTATTAGGTGAACATTATGAAGTTCATAGATGGCATCCTCCTCTGGTATATGGAAGAAGAGGAGATGCAGATGTAGGAGAAGGAATATCTTTAGCAAGAGTAAAAGACTTAAATTTATTAATGAATAGGGGATTTGCAAAAAGCTTAATGGAAAGAAGGTTTATTTATTGATAACCTATGAATTACCAATAGTGAGTGCAAGAGCTGTGCCTTAATAAATAAACTTTTACAATCAATTCATAGGCGAATTAGAGAAATTTGATATTAAGTAACAATGAAAATGAATATTAAATAATATTAATAATCCGCATTCACTATATATTCTTAAAGGGAATTAGATTTCATTTCAGATTAAAATAAGATTAAATAATATATAGAAGATTTAAGATGTAATAATATAACATTATAATGATTATTAATAATATACTCTCACACTAACTTAATCGTGCAACCGATAGCTTCTAATTTTACCTTCAATTCTTCAGCATCACTTTTTTTCATTTATTTACTTAATGTGGCAGGTAGTTTTTCTACTAAGTCTTTTGCTTCTTTCAAACCTAAATTGAAAATTGCTCTAACATCTTTAATGATCTTAATTTTTTATGCAGCATCAAAAGTATCAAGAATAACATCATAATTAGATTTCTAAATATTTTTTCAATAGAAATTACAGTAGCTTCTTTTGGAGCTTCTTTAGGAGTCTCTGCCTTTTTTTCTTCTTAAACAGAAGCAGCAGGAGCAGCTTATCCTTATGTTCCTGTTCCTACTCCACCTCCAAATCCAACTACTTCAGAAAATAAAGTTGCAATTCCTTATTATCCTAAAGGCCATAATTTAGCTATAGTTTCTTATTATTATAACCATTAAGGATGTGCTGTTGGCCAAACTCCAGATCCTGAAATTCTATTTAATAAATTACCAACTTCAGTATCCTCTTTTGACATTCCTAATGAAAATTCTCCATAATCTGGTTTATTTAATACTTATTTCTACAAAATATAATTCAGATATTGAAATTCATTCTCACTTAAGTATTCTATATGCTTTGCTAATAAATTGATTTTCTTCTATTGGTTAGCATCTAATTTATCATTAAATACTCTTGGAGGCCTAAAGACAAATTTCATTAAAACTAATTCATACATTTCTTTAGCTCGATTTTTAAATTCATTCCATTCTCTTTAGAATGATAGATATCTTTCTTTAAAAGAAACTTTTTCAATTTTATTCATTTCACTCTCTAATTTATTTATTGTACTGCATCCAAACCTTACTACTCTTTGCATCTCTAATAAATTATTAAATATATATATATTTTATTTTTTTATGTTTATAATACTATACTTAATGTTTCTCAATTTTTACCTACTTTCTTTGCACCCTTTTTTTAATAGAATGTATCATCTCTTCTAAATTCAAATTCTAAATCTCTAGTTGTTAACACTTTGTAAATATCTTTTATTGATTCAAGTCTTGATTCTAAATCTTTTTAATCACTTTCATCTAAGAATCTATTCAATCTAAACTCTATTATACATTCTATAAAATTTTGTGCCATCTACTCTAACTCTTGTTCTTCTACCCAAAATAACTGATGGTGATATTAAATCTTCAAGTAATCCATCATAAACTGTTGTCAAAGTTCTTGAATTTGGTCTTGTTTAAGATCTATGTTTCTTTACCCATTTACTTTCAATTGTTCTTTTAGCAACCACTAAAATAGTTGCTTTTACTCTTTTCTCCAATTCAGGTAATAACTTTTAGCTAATCTCAACTCATTCCAATATTATACCTTATTTTGTTATAGATTGATAAACATGGATAAGGGATAAAAACTAAATACACCTATTTCTTAGCATTAATTTTAGATGTAAAATCAACAACTGATGATAATCTTAAATTCTTCACTTCTGTGATTGTTCCCTCAATTTATGTTAATGCTGAGCCTACTTATTATTCTAAGCTTGATAACTCAATATTTTATAAGATTAATACTTCTTTTTTTTTCCAAAATTTATTAGCTGCCATTTTTTATACCAATTAATATTTGATTAATTAACTAAATCTTTTTTATAATTATAATATGCAAGTGTCTACTCTGTTAGAATAAATTCCTGAATCAATATCTCTTATATTAGAGCCAACACTTACTTAAGGAGCACTTTATCTAGGCAATTTGACTTCTTTATATAAAGCTGCTTAAAAAAATTAAATAAAAGTGATATATTAAATTATTAAAAAAGGTTGCCGTTTCTATATGTGATTAAATAGACACGAAGGATATTGAACTTGAATAACATCTCTGCATCGATTTGACAGATAAAGAAGATTCAGATATATAAAAATATTTTAATTAGACAAATATGTTTATCTAAGAAAATTTAAATGTAATTAATTAAAATCAAAAAGAAAGAAAGGCAATGTCTTAGTTCATTGTTTTGTTGGTATTTCTAGAAGTGCTACTATTGTTATTGCATATATTATGTGGAGCTAAAGGATAACTTTTTAATAAGCATTTCTTTTAGTAACTTCTAAACGTTCATAGGTTTATCCTAATAAAGGATTTAGATAACAACTTATAAAATATCAATAAGAATTGCAGTAAATTTAAAGATAATGATTAGTTTACAAAAACTATTATTTAAATGATCAAAATATTTATATTATTGGCATAATTTCTTGAATTTTTGTTTTCAGTCTGCTTATGCACATTTATGAAAATTGGAAGAGAAGAAACTAAAATGAGTGGAAGAATTCTAAAGTTTGCTTATCGAGTTGAAAAAAATTTACTCTACAACTATGAATTTGGACCAAACACTAAAGTAGGTAATCACTAATCATTAGGATATAAGAATTTGCTTAATTCCATTTTTGTTGCCAACTATCTGTAAGAAAATAATTAACATTAAATCTCCATTAAGTTTTTATGAGCTATTGCTTGCTTTCATTGATATTTTATCACTTATTGATTAAATCAATACAACTGAGTCTTATCAAAGATATTGTCTAGTTTATACAATAAGAGTTCTAAGAACTATGATGATGCTATTTGAATTAGTATAAGAAATTACAAAAATTGCAATTCTTCATTATGAATAAATTTTGCAAAATAGATTATTACAAATGCAATAAAAAAAATAAGCCTTATAAAGCAGTATAAATCTATAATAATAGCCATTATCAAATTAATAATAATAACTTCTTGATGAAAATTCTGATTTAGATGAACAATCTAAATTAATTAACATACGAAAATAATAATAGCAATAAAGTTCAATAAAACGACTAATTTTTCCCTAAATGAAGATCCCTTGTATCCTATTGAATTTAATTATTAATTAATAGCAATATTATATCTAAATCATAGACCCATGGAGTTTTGAAAAATCATTCTAAAAGATTGTTATAAGAGAGTAACTTTTAACAATGATCAAACTTAATTATTGCTGTTAAATCTATTAGACTTTAAAGAAAACTAAATGCAATTAATAAGCACTTCATAAATATAGAGAATTAATAGCAGAATATTTATCTTAATTAGTTTGGATGAATTGATTACAAAATTTGTATATAAATAAATAAACAACACCTTGATTAAATTGTCCAATCTTTTTTTTCTTATTTACCAAGTCATTATACTTTTTTAATAATCTTTAATTTTATTTCTACTTTATATCTATTAACACACAATTATTTTAATTGAATCTTGATTTTATTATTTTAAAGAAAAAATAAAATTCGTTATCTACAATTTGGATAACAAAATTTTTCAAATTGTCTTTGACAAACCTTTTCTAATCAAAAAATCTTTTTATTAGATAATAAAAAATTCTTGTTTCAAAAACACGATCCATATTAAAATCTCTTTCTATTTTTAATTTAATGGACTTAATTTGATAATCTAATTATTTCTAAACAATTTAATTATCTTCAGTAATATTTAAAATTTTAATGTGAGTGATTTAAAAATAAAGAAATAATGTTTAAGTAAGATGTGAGGAATAGCTAGATAAATTTAGATTAAGAGTTATTATAATAATTTCTCTCATTATATGCACTTTAATTTGTTTAATTCTTAATTAACTCTTATCAAAAGAAACACAGGGTTTGAAATTAATTTTTGTTTTTCATATTATATTTTTAAGGATAGGTTTAATTTTCTGTAGCAATGTTAACCCAGCCAAGAAGCCATTCAATTTTTAGAATCTATTTCTTCTTAGTCAAATGAAATAATTCGAGAAAAAAACAAAGATCTCCTCTAATCGACTGAATAATATTATAATATATATAAACTTGTAAAAACTTTTAACTGTATTTACTTTGATATCTTATTTAAAAATACAGTTAAAGGTTCATATAATAATGTTTTAATATTTTTTGTAAATGATCTTTTGTTTAAGTTGTGATAAAAATTTTTATAATATTTGGATTCATTATTTTTAATACATAAATTAATATTCACAATAAAATGGAAAAAATGAAGTTTTATCTTAAATATTATTATTAGTTTTTATAAATTCATAGCTGAATCAAAAATTGATAACTCTATAGAGAGTTTATTTTGATATATTTACTTGTTTTCAATTTTATAATGATAATAGGTTTTTAACATTTACAAATATATGATAAAATAATTAAAATTTTATATGATTAAGATTCTTGTAAAGTTTGAGATTAATTAAAACTAAATAACTAATTTCATTCATGATGGAATGAGTTTGATCGTACCCTTTAATTGATCTAAGCCATTTCACTTTCATTACTAGAACTCATAAATCTAAACCTCTTTTAAGGATTATTTTAATGTGATTTGATAGTTGTTGGTGTATTGGATGAATTACTAAATCGAATGATTGGACAAATCGCTTCTTCACCATCTAGATCTCTAGGGGAACCCTAATCAGAACAAAATTTAAAGATCTTTACAATTCAAAATATCAAGTAGCTTCTTTTCTAATTGATCTAATTTTTAGCAATTGCTAATTGCAGAATAGAAATTGTAATCTTTTCTTATTAATAAATCTTATATAAAGTGTATAAATACCTTTGATACATCCTTTTTGTTCCATTGAAATTTAATTTTATTGATATAATTCCCATAATGCAAGCAATACTTGGCTTTCTAAAGACATATTTTATATTTATTTTAATATTTTTATTAATTAATCCTATTGTGATATTTTCAGAGTTTTCATTTTCATTTAGATGTAATGATTTCTGATCCTGGTTTAAGTTCTTAGAAATAAATAACTTAATTTTACATTTAAACAAGAACAAACAGCCTATTTTAAATTAAAACCTCAAAGCATCTTTTCTTCTATTTAACTAAGAATTAATAAACCACTTATTGTTTTTCCAAGCTTATAAAAAATATATATATAAGCTCTTCATTAATATATTTTAGTTGTTTTATCTACAATATATTTTATAATTTATTGATTCCGTTAAGAAAATATGTATATTAAAAACTCTATTTGATGATGATTTATGAATTTTATTTATTATATTTATTTTAGAAAAAAAATTAACTGAACTCAAGATTCCAAATTATGCTATTTATTGTTTTTTGTGAATTTTTTAAATTATTTTAAGGCAATAACAAAGTGCTAAGAATCTAACAAATCTTGTAGAAGATTGCTTAATATCTTCACTTTACATTATGAACTAATTCTGTGAAATTAATTAATAATATTCACTTACATTTCTTAATTTATTGACTATAAAAATTATATATGTTTTAGAAATTAAATCCATATTGTGATAATCTCATAAATTTTTAAAAATTTATGAAATCAGATAAAGAAATTATGACTTTATTTTGGTAATAATTTTTTTAATTATTAATATATGAAAATTTTCTAAATTAATTTATTTGATAAATATAATTAATTATATTTTTATTTTTATTCTCAGAATTTAATTAAAAAGCATATGTTTGATTTTAATCATAAAAAAATACTGATGATTTTGCTAAAGAGGTATGATAAATCCATTTTTGTAAATATAAAGAAATGAATGATAAAGATGAATGTTCTGTAATAACTTAAATAAAAATTAATCATTTATCTATATAAACTGATGTTAATGAAGAGACCAACCCCTCAATTTTCATCAGTTTCTAATACAGAAGCAAATGAAAAAATTGGTTCAAAATTAGAAGAATTTGGAGAGTTTGTAATGTTATCATTTGAATTACATGAAATAATTTCATCTTAAAATAAGGAATTAACATCACTTTCTTATTCTGAATCCTAAAAGAATAAAAAAATAAATTACTGAGTTATCTTCTGAATCGTACAAATTCTCCTAAAATTGTATTGATACCTTTCTTGTACTTTCTATTTATTATTTAATTTATATTACCGAAAGTAATTGTAGAGAGATCTTTGTCAGAAAAAATTCTTTTAATGTTATAAATAAAGATGGATGGAATGTTGTAAGTCAAAACAACCACTAATTTCTATCCTTATATCTAAAGAAATCGATTTTCACCACATTCCCAAAATTAATTATTACCATCTGTAATAATTAGTTTGAACTCAACAATTTAATCTACATAAATAAAGAATAGTTACTAAGTTCAAATTCTAAAGCAAAATCACCAAACCAAATAGGATACATTTCTTTATTGGTTATTAATTTAAATCCTTGTTAAGGATTCCAATTTCCTAACTAAGTAGTGTTTCCTACTATACTGACCATTTAACGATATTCTGTTGAACATTTCACTCGAAATAATACTTGAGCACTCATTTTACAATATTTATTATTATAGATAAACTTAAATTATCCACTATTACTTTTTTATTATCTCATAATAAAATGTGAAATTTTTCTTTTGCGTCATTTACAAAAAGGAAAATTAATATTTAAGAATTTAAAACATATAAGAAAATATAAAGGAAAATTTTTGAATGTTTATGGTAATAATAAAATTTATTAAGTTTAGTCAGCTTTTATTAAGACTAGAATATTAACCCCAAAATAATTACAAAATTGTATTTTAGTAAATGATGATCTAATGTAAAATGCTAAAATTTTAATAGGTAATCTTCAAGATATTGCCAAATTTTGCTTAAAGTATATAATAACATTTTAACTGTCACATTTCTAAATTAATTTCTGATAAATTAAAATATTATATTTTTTTAATTTAAAAAACATTAAAATAATAAAATTTTTCACATAATGATAGAAGTATACTTATAAAAAGTAATAAGAATAATAATATCAAACAATAGTTTTCTCTATTTTTTTTAAAGGAGATTTAATCTTTACTCTTTCTGTCTTTTCACCTATCCTAAAGATGGTATACTGAATTCTAATTTTTTTTAGACTCATTTATTCTTATTAACTCTAGATGGAGCAATTTCTAAAAATAAATTGAATTCATTTTCTTTCGAAAAATTTATGTTTTTGTTTCTGTTAAATATTAATAATTATTTTCTTTTTAATCTTAACTTTTTTTGCCTTTGGAAACATTAACATTATAAACACTTAATAAAAATTATTTTATTTTGATTTTCTCTTAATAATTATTTTTAACAAAACCATATAATAATTAATAATTATAATAAATTAAGATATTATGAAAGAGCCTTTTGTAGTGCAACTAAAAATCAAAAATATCAACATAGATGATGAAATGAAATTACCTTTAAAAAAAGATAGGTAATATTACACAATAACAAAAAAGAGATTGATAATATTTCTAAAGAACAAAGGAATAAATTATAATTTAAACGATACTGATATTGGTATATATATAATTAATATAATAATTATAGAATTTTTTATAGAATTTTATGACTAAAAGAAAAAAGAATTTTAAGATGAATCACAAATATTCGATTTTGATAAGAATGAATTTTTTTTTCACGAAAAATTTTTTGAATTCATAGAAATAGACAAAAAAAAAAAAAAAATTTTGCACGCAAGGTTTGTTGTAGAAGCCAATAGTTGGATAGGAAAAAAATATATTCAATAACTGAAAATTCTTGAAAAATAAATTTCATCACAAGTGGATGAGAAATAAAAAGAATTATAAAAAGATTTAGAACCTCAATATTAAGAAATTGAAAATATTAAGTAACAATTAGAAAAATTATGCTAATAAGATAAATATAAAGAAAATGAAGAAGTTGATTTAGTTATACTTTATAGCTGCCCCTTATTATTATAAGATGATATTAATAAAACTTGGAAAGCAGCAAAGTTTATTGAATATGAGAGTGAAATAAATGAAATTTTAGAATAAGAAAATTTACCAAAGTTTAAGATATTATTAGCTACTGATGATAATTTGATAGAAGCCTTAAATTATAATCCATAGATAATACATTTAATAATTAATGGAGATATAGATCTTAATAAAGACGAATATTATTTAGAATTTTAAGAGGAAGGTTCTGGTTATGTAAAAAAGAAATATCTATATGAATTTAGAAGTAAATTGATAGAAAAAATAAATTAAGGAAAACTCAAAAAATTAAAGTTAATCTCTATAAGTTCTATTATAGCAAAGGAATTCATATAAGTAATTAAGGATAATTGGTTCTATGATTTATTTAGTGTTATAGGATAAATAAAGGTTTTTAATTCTCATGATAAATATGGTGATTTGTTTTGGAAACATTTTTATGAATAGTTGTTTAGTGGTGGGTAAAAATAAATTGAAGAAGAATATAAAAAAGTTAAAGATGAAATAAAAATTGATAACTCAGAGAAATATGTAGTTATATGTTGTTGCTTTCATGAACATAGTCAAGTATGTAAAAAAGCTCCTCAAAAAATTGGGTATTCAGAATCTCATGAAAAGCATCTACAATGTTCAAAACAAAAAACAAATAATAAAGGTTAAGATCCTTAAGGATATATATTCCACAATAATGAAAAATGTAATGAAAAAAAGAATGAAGAGGGTATATGTATAAATTACCAGGCTAGGATTGACAATATTTTTAAAGAATATGAACAAGAAAAAGATGTAGAGAAAAAAAAAAATTTTTAAATGAATGAGGTTGAATGTTGTTGCTGTTGCTATGAGTATGATGTTTTACTGTCTGAAAATAAAGTGGAACAAAAAGGACATCTAATTTCCTAGAAATTTATGGGAGATTAATTTGGAAAAATAGATTGTAATTTAAGCAAAAAAAATGAAATTGATAATTAAAGCGATTAAAGTAAAATTTAAATTCCTTACTTAAAAATTAATAAATAGATTATTATAATATTTAGTAGTGATTCTAAGGATACAGACAATAAAACCAAAGATGAATTATTTAAATATTTTGAAGTAATTTTATTACTATAAATAGATATATAACAAAAAAAGGTAAGTAATAGAGGGGGGTGAGAGAAAGAAAGTAATTGCCTATGTACAGTAAAATCACAAAGAAAACAATAACATTATTTATGAACCTTATACATTCGATGTTATGATGAAAGTTGATTAATTCTTTGAACATAAAGAATAGGATAAATTATTTACAATTATTACCATTTAAGATATTGATGACAAATGTTTGAATCCAAATTTCAAATAATTTAATGAAGAATTACATGAAAAATTCAAAATGAAAGAAAATATAGTAATCATTTTTACAATTTAAATGAAAAATAGAGAAAATATAGTAATTCCTTATTATCAAGACTTTTACCAATTAATTTATCCATAAAAATAATGAAAATTATAAAGTTTTAATAATTTAATTAGATATTTATTCCTTTTTTCAATATAAATTAAATAGATTTAAGAATAATTTCAAAATTATGAATGTACTTAATCATAGGTCTTACAAGTTTGTCAAAAGGGCAATAATATTAGTGTATTTTCTATTATATACTAATCTAATCTGTATACAGACTTACTAATATAGAAATACAAAAGATAGTATGAATTAAGACTTATAATTATAATCTGAACATATTCTGAAAACTTTAAGCGATCTAAAATAATAGCTAAATTCTATGGCCAATCAGGTGAAAATATAATACCTTCAAATTAATATGTTTTTATACCAATAGAATCTAATTAGAAATACTTAAATGAAAATTTAACTAAAGCATAATATAAGAATTTATCCTTAAAATAAATTTGAATAAAAATCTTTATAAAGTATAAGAATTTTGAAGAATGTCTAAATGGTAACATTATTTTGCCAAATACTCTATTTCAAATGTTCTTTATTAATAAATCTTTGACAGAAAGAACGAAATTATTCAATCAAATTCTAAATCATCCCTATTACCTTTGAAAATATATGTTTTTATAAGATTAAATAAAAAGTCATTCAATAAAAAATATAACATCTAAATAATCTTTTNAATAGATTGTAATTTAAGCAAAAAAAATGAAATTGATAATTAAAGCGATTAAAGTAAAATTTAAATTCCTTACTTAAAAATTAATAAATAGATTATTATAATATTTAGTAGTGATTCTAAGGATACAGACAATAAAACCAAAGATGAATTATTTAAATATTTTGAAGTAATTTTATTACTATAAATAGATATATAACAAAAAAAGGTAAGTAATAGAGGGGGGTGAGAGAAAGAAAGTAATTGCCTATGTACAGTAAAATCACAAAGAAAACAATAACATTATTTATGAACCTTATACATTCGATGTTATGATGAAAGTTGATTAATTCTTTGAACATAAAGAATAGGATAAATTATTTACAATTATTACCATTTAAGATATTGATGACAAATGTTTGAATCCAAATTTCAAATAATTTAATGAAGAATTACATGAAAAATTCAAAATGAAAGAAAATATAGTAATCATTTTTACAATTTAAATGAAAAATAGAGAAAATATAGTAATTCCTTATTATCAAGACTTTTACCAATTAATTTATCCATAAAAATAATGAAAATTATAAAGTTTTAATAATTTAATTAGATATTTATTCCTTTTTTCAATATAAATTAAATAGATTTAAGAATAATTTCAAAATTATGAATGTACTTAATCATAGGTCTTACAAGTTTGTCAAAAGGGCAATAATATTAGTGTATTTTCTATTATATACTAATCTAATCTGTATACAGACTTACTAATATAGAAATACAAAAGATAGTATGAATTAAGACTTATAATTATAATCTGAACATATTCTGAAAACTTTAAGCGATCTAAAATAATAGCTAAATTCTATGGCCAATCAGGTGAAAATATAATACCTTCAAATTAATATGTTTTTATACCAATAGAATCTAATTAGAAATACTTAAATGAAAATTTAACTAAAGCATAATATAAGAATTTATCCTTAAAATAAATTTGAATAAAAATCTTTATAAAGTATAAGAATTTTGAAGAATGTCTAAATGGTAACATTATTTTGCCAAATACTCTATTTCAAATGTTCTTTATTAATAAATCTTTGACAGAAAGAACGAAATTATTCAATCAAATTCTAAATCATCCCTATTACCTTTGAAAATATATGTTTTTATAAGATTAAATAAAAAGTCATTCAATAAAAAATATAACATCTAAATAATCTTTTACACTGTATTGTAACTCAATTTCTAAATTTGTTAATTGATAAAATTTTTAATTAATTCAATTTTTAATATTTGATTGCCATATTTAAGCAATCTTTTTATAAGAATGTTAAATTAAAAAATTTTGTTTTTAGATAGTAAAGATTTATAGTTAAAACTTGAAAAAACGACATAAATATTAATTGGAAAATTAAAATTAGTTGATCCAAACTTTAAATATTAAGTAATTTAGAGATTATAGAAAATTATGATTGAAATAATTAAAGTAATTGAGTTAAAAACAACATTTACAATTTAAATCATAGATGTATATGTTTCTAATTCAATATCTCTAATAAATTAGAATAATTACAAGATTTTAAGAATTAATGAATAAATTTGATTAATTAGAATAAAATAAGTAGAATAAAGAATAGAAAATTTAATTTTTAGTTATTGATTAGTTTTGTAATTAATATATTGAAACCTAGACCTAGAGATTATAAATAAAAAAAAATATGTTTAGAATAGGAAATGGTACTTTATTTTGAGAATAAATTATATTGATATTATAAAAATTATCAAATGTCATCTGATGAGTTAGATACATAAAATCATAAATTAAGAGAGTAAATTATACATACTGAAACTCTTAACATGATGGCAAAATATTAGTTAGTTTTCTTAAAGATGGAGATATCAATGAGAAAGCTAGCCTTGATTATAAAATTAAAGTAATTCTAACTGATTATTGTAGAGGAAATTAATAGAAAGTTTATGCATTTAGGAAACTAAAATAATCAAATAAATATAGTATTGACCATTTTAAAGTTCTTTTTACATAGATATCATTAAAGTATAAATAAGTTGGAGCAATTATTCAAAAAAAATAAAAAAGGAATTTACATTATGCATTCCTTAAAATAAGACTTCAATTTTAAAAAAACAAAAATGAAAAAATAAAGAAATCTTTTTTATAGGTGATAGCTTCTAAAGAGGCGGAAATAAAAAATCTCTAAATTAAGGAATAAGAAATATTGGAGAATATAGCCAATTAAAAATAAAAGGAATAAGATTTCCAATAGAAAATAAAATAAAAGGATTAAATTTTAGCATCATTAGAAAATGAATTGAGAAAAAATTCAGCAAACAAAACTTTAGATTCAAAAGTAAATTAACTTATTATTTAAGTTAAGAAACATAGAAATAGAGAACCAGGAGATGTAAGACCGTATAATGGGAACTGAAGATTCTGTAAATTTATTTATAAGAGAAATGAATGATATGCTTGACACTCATGAAATTAGTACTAATTTAGGTAAATAAAAAAACGACTCTACTAGGTTTAGATTCTGATGAAAACTAATCATACGAATAAGCTCCTTAAGTTTTTGAATATTAGAGTTAAAGATTGAATTAAAATTCAAGGTAATAAAAACCAAAGAACTTTTACTCAAATTAATTGACCCGGAGTACTAAAATTAATTGAATATATGAAAAATAATAATCAAGAATCAAAATAACTATGATTTAATCTTCTTATCTTGTTAATAAATTTTATTATATTGCTAGTTTAACAAAATTGAATAATTATTAACTTAGGCCTTTGGTTTTGATTTGCTACTATTTATGGCATCATAAAGTTCTTTTTCTTATTTTTTAGTTCTTCCTTGCACAGCTAATTTTATAGCTTACTAATTTTATAATTTAAGCATTTCATTTTCTTGTTCTAATTATTACAATTTGAAATTAATAGAATCATTTGGATTTAATGTAATCATATGTTTAAGTTCTTATACTTCATTTTCTAAGGCTAAAATAGTATTTTCTTATTGATGAATTTTGATTTCATATGTCTATTTAATATTTTAAATCTGTTATAATGTAAAATAGTTATACTTCTGCATCTTTTAATCTCAAAGTTTATAAACTCTCTTAAATGCATTCATCAATAGCTCTAATAATAGATTAGCAATCATCAATTGATAATTATTATCCTGCAATAATTTTGGATAGCATTTTTTATAGTTCATTCTACAATGCTAATTCAAAAGGTTTTTTTTGAATTGCAACATTAATTTAATTTGGATATTATTCTTCTTCTAAATCATCTAAGAAATTAGCTTATTGACTATAGCTTTTGAGTCTGCTTTAATTGCTAAAAGTAGGAGCATAATTCTTGCTATAAGATGCATCAAAAGATTAATTATGTTCTGATCTAGACTTATGTGTAACATCTTTTATAAACTTAGGACCTATTAAAAAAATAAATTATATGAATTTATGTATACCTGAAGATTAATTTGGTGTTTTTTTCATTGACATTTTATATGTAAAACTGTGATAATAATAATATTTAAAAATAATTAATCACAAATCATTTCTTCCAAATACTCTATTATAAATAGTATAATATACCATAATAGTGTTAATACATCCTTAAAATTTATTTGGTTTGTTTTCAGAATCAATTTACAAATGTTGGACTTCATTCACTTCTGTTTCAATGCTTTCTATACATTTTCGTGATAGAAAATAAAATGCCTCTTACACTCCATCTCCAGTCTTTGCACTTCCTTAATTATGAAAAGAAACCTGACTTCAAAATAAGGCAATTTGTATTTCTAAGAGAATTCCTAACCTTCAAGGAATTTGACTTAGCGTTTCTAATTATGTGACATATTATACTTCACATAGATCTATTTTATTTCCTACCAGAATAGATTATGAACTTGCTTTTGAACATTCTTAGACTTGTTTTATCCAATAATCACTTATACGATTAAAACTATCTTTATCTGCAATATCAAAAACCATTATGACTCCATCTGCTTTTTAAAAATAACCTTTTACATTTATAAAATAAACCCTACTTTTTGTGAGACTAAAATATTTATCTTATCCAGCTGTATCCCATATACATAATTTGATTTTTTATCCTTAATGAATAAATTCCTTTTTGACTAGATTTAATCCAAGTGTTGGAAGATAATTGTGTTAAAATGGAGCATCCTCTGAATTATAACATAATCTTACAGTCTATGAATCTTTGTATTAAACTTGTCTTACCAGACCCTAATCATCTTGTATATATCAAATACCTAGATTACCAATAACTATTAAATCAATTTTTATCATATATTTATTAAATCAATATTAAACATTCATTATTAACTCAATGTTTTATATTACTCATAATATTTCTAATCCATTTAACTAATAAAATTTGTTAAATCATTTGTTCTATAAAATGCATGTGTAATAGATGGACCACCAACTGCTACAACATAAAACATTAATCTATTTGGAATCATAAATTTATATTTCCCTAATTCATAAAATCTTGCCCATAAAAATGAAAATAATCCAACACTGATTGAAGTTGAAAAAAATGTTTTTTAAATTGCACTATATTATTCATCATCTGCTGGATCTATCATCTTTTTAGCTTATAGAAAAATAAAACATCCTGATGGATTAACAATTTATTTTTCTGACTAAGACATTTAAATTATTATATTTATTTGAATAATGTGTGATGATAAATTAGGTTTATTTTTCATTACTGATAGTTCAAATTACTTTTTAGAAAGGGCTAGAGTATATTCTAGAATTACAAAGATAGCAGTGAACATGTCAGTGAAAACTCTAAATATTAGAATAATTATTATTCAATATGTCTTTAAGAATTAGTATGATATAAAAAAAGATTCATTTAAATCTTGAATAATTTATATATTCTTATGATTGATAGAATAGTAAATAATAGTTTAAAATCAATTAACTTTGGCTTTTAATCGCTAAAATAATTTGATGAACATTTCATTCTATGCTTTTTTTTCTCTTGGAATCTATTTGTTAAATGATATAGTTCTGATTTTGGTATTCAATTTAACATCGTAATCCAGTAAAGATGTTATTGGTAGATGCTCTTTTTATTATACTGTTTTTCCAAAATCAACTGCTGTGGACCTTCTAGATTTTATATAGTTGAAACTCTTCTAAATTTCATAATCTGGCATGGCATCTTTCTCGGCTAATGGTTTTCTTGCTGAATATGATTCAAAAGAGTGAGCATTGTTTGTCTTGGCTAAATCAATTGGTTAATAAAATTTATCAACTGTATCTCTTTACACATCCCTTCTTCCTTCTTATTTTTCAAATGGAATCATCATCTTAATCTTTGGAGGAGGTATTTACACATTTGATATATCCTATGGATTGTTTGATAAACTCATTGATCGTCTTTTTGTCTACTTTTCAAAGCTTACTGTTGGAATATGTTTTTCTATAATATCAAAATGAGGTTTATAATCTCTTTCTGCTTATGTAGCTTAATTCTATTGAGAATAAATGGATCCTTATGATCTATCTATTCTTCTGAATAGCCAATCTCCTTTTTAAACTGTTTTCTTCTCAATTTTAATTGGAGGAATCATACTCACATTCTAAGGATAGAATCTGTTTCCAGTTGTCTTTCTCTGATCTAACCTACGGCCAA